GCCCCCCCCCCCCCCCCAGCCCCCCCCCCCCAGTTGGACCCCCCGGAGATACGATTCTTAAGCTTCCCCTTTTCTAGTCAGTGAGAACTTTAAACTGCTGTGACCTCTCGAATGTGATGGCTTGGCAGCTTTATCCACCAGTTCCCTCAGAACTTGGAGATGGATCTCAGCAAGTCCCATGGACTTGTGCACCTTCAGGTTCTTTATATGGTCTTGAACATCATCTTCACTTAGAGCAGGTAGATCTGTCTTCTCCAAGTTCTTATCACTGCTTTCTCCAACTTGGGTGATGTGGCTAGAGCCTTATTGGTGAAGACCGAGGCGAAGTGGTCATTGAGCACTTCAGCCTTCTTTGTATCCCCCATGACAAGGTTTTCAGTTTCCTTCCAGAGAGGGCCCACATCCTCCCTAACTTTCTTTTTATCACTGATTTACCTGTAGAATTTCTTCTTGCTCCTCTTGATGTCCCTGGCTAGATTTAATTCTGTCTGGGTTTTGCTTTCCTAACCTGATCCCTGGCTGCTCAGACAACTTGTTTGCTGTCATGCCAGTTAACTTGTTCCTGCTTCCACTCCCCTATAGAATTTCTTTATTTCTTTTTGAGCCAGAGTCAGTCCAGGAGCTCACTGTTGATCCACAGAGGCCTTCCAGAATTCTCACCTGCCTTCCTTTTTCTTGGGATGCACTGCTTCCAGGCTTGGAGGAGATGGCCCTTGAACACCAACCAGCTTTCTTGAGCCCATCTTGCCTCTAAGGCTTTCCCCCTCCGTGTCACCCTGCCAAGCAGCTCCCTGAAAAGTTCAAAGCCTGCTCTCCCTGAGTGCAGAGTAGCAGGCTCACCGCATGTCTTTCACACCCTCAGGATTTCAAATTCCACCATTTCACGGTCACAATATAGCCAAGGCTTTCCTTGAGCTTCACATTACTCACCAGCTCCTCCTCAGTGAGGGCAAGGCTCTCATAGCACCTCTTCTCAGGTGTTCCTGTACTACTCAGAAGAGGAGGTTATTGTCAGCACATTCCAGGAACCTCTTTGATGCCTGGTGCACTGCTGAGATGTCCTTTCAACAGATACTGGGGTTGTTGAAGGCCCTGAGGACCATGTTTTGTGTACGCGAAGCTGCTCCTATCTGTTTATAAAGGGCCTCATCCACTTGGCCTTCCTAATCAGGTGACCTTTAGCAGACTTCCAGTCACTGTCAAAACAGTAGTCCAGTTCCAAAGTGATGTATAATCACCCAGCTGTTAATATCCAGCCCTCTCATTAGTAAAGAAGTCAAAGAAAAAATAGATTTATGATTGAAAAACTAACCTGCTTATTCTGTTGGAGTATGAGAACTTGGTGAAGAGGTCACATTAGAAATCAGACACTGTACAGGTGCAGAAACAGGTCTGCTGACAAGAATGGCACCAATGAAAGCTTCTCTAATCTGTGCTAAAGAGTATCTGCCCTTGTTCTTAAGGGCATTAATGCAACTTCAGTGTTGTAGCTTCATAGTTTTGGCGTACTAAAACTGTAAAAATGGTGAAAAAATACAGAACAAAATGGGAATATTTGGAAAACAGAAGAGTGCGTATCATATGAGAGATTGCTTAACATATTACTAACAGATGGAGTTGCTGAACTATGGGAGAATTACTTGTAAATAAGCAGGAAGAGAGAACTTGCATCCAGGAATCGTAGCATAATTCCTTGGAGAGATTCGTTATGTTATTTTTTAGTATTTTTTGAAATGTTAACATATATAATACTGTGCCAGGTTTTAAGGATGAGCAAGAGAGCTTCCTTGGCTGACAGTCATCTTAAGCTGGCAGTAGACCCCAGATCCCTGCATAAGATCACTACTTTAATCATGGGTCAGTTTGTTCTTTTTTGATTT